TCTATATTAAGCAGCCACTTGCATTTCTCCCGTTGGACTATCCACAATTCAAAACCGTTTTGAAGGTGTTCCTGCGACTGTGATAACTGTTCACAGATTCCAATTCGAGTCCGCGTTCTTTCGCCAGTTCAATTCTGTTCTTGGCACTAATCGGAATCGAACGACGGCATTCCATCCCAAAGCCTCGTTGAACGTTCCCATCCGGCTCGATCCTTCCCAAAGGTCCGACAACCTCCCCCTAGTTATGTTGCCCACCCGTTCTAGTCTCGAGGTGGACATCGGCTCTACCGAGGCTGACCTTGTCTTCGGAACCTTCCAACGCCTGTCCGGTGAGTTACTCTCCTTCAAACACGCAAACTTGGTACTAGCCGTTACGTTGGTCGATAACGCCGTACCATGTGCAATCTCCGCCCAACGCACCTCAAGCGTCACCAGCGAATTCCTCAACCCCTGCTTGCCTTGACACGTGCAAGTTCGTCCTTGTCCGACATGACGCTCCCCGACGCACTCATTTACCACACGGAAGCGGTCGGTATACGGTAAATCGCCTTATGTACCAATAAATCGCTCCTAACATCTGACTGCCTTATTCTTAGTGTTATGGTTATAGTGGATTGCCAATACTTGACCGCTACAGATGACTACATCTCCCACCCAAAAGATAAGAACACTGCATTTCAGGTTGGCCGGTGGTTATAGCTGACTGTATCTTAAGTATAAACATGAGCGTCCATATAGCTACGTTAAAGGAAGTCCTGCTCTTTCCCTCGAGGTTTGAGGGAAAATGCGTCGTCACACGAAATGGAAGCAACAGTATGCACCACGGCATTGCCGCCAAATCACTCCAAACAAAAAAACATGAGCTTTGAATGCCAATCTGCAACGCAATCCCTTCGATATTGGCGCAAATTCCATGCATATGCAGATCTACAGCATATTCATGAATACCAACAATTATTTACAGGCAATAAAAGTAATCCGCGCAACGAACAGGTTGGAACATAAAGCCCTCGCTCATGACCGAGCTTGACAAGGCTTAGCACGTAAACCCTGACACAGACAAAGTAACAACAACCTCAAGTTAAACTGCGTCCTTGTCTTGGTTCTCTGTGAGGCCTGACTCCCTGTGTGAACCGCATACTAATGACATCGTCAGTCTCAGCAAAACTTTATTTGGTACATACAAGCATTACAGAATTGCATTAATTTACAAGTCACACAGAAAAGGCAATAATCGCACTGTCGTCTTAAAAGTTAAACAGAAGTTAGTGCCCTGAAAGCTGCGCGAGCCGCGATTGACGTGGCAGTACGAAACAAAGTAAACCAGATCTTTGGGAAAATAACGCAGTCTACGAAAAGCAGGCCACATAGCCGGGACGGGCTGCATAGCAAACTCAAATTGTCAAACCTACGGGCCTACGGATGTAGACTAATTGGAGACCGTTTGTCCTTGCTGAAAAGGCAGGACGACCTGTTTGCTAGATTATAGGGGGTCAGCGATAAAGCAATAAAACTCCATCTTGAAGGCTTTATAACGCAGCCTCGTGATAGGAAACCGCATTCCATTGCGTAAAACGATGCATAACTCTAGCTAACTTGAGAGTGCTGAGGAAAACTACGCTATGAGCTATAGCCCACTGAATGATTTCTGACAGTCACATAATAGTCCGACATTTCGCGACGAAATGTTTTTGTGGTGACCACTTCACGATCCGGTTTCAACTTCAAGAACGGCCGACAGCATAAAAACGAAAGCTGGATATGGGGTTACGTGGACTGTAGCATAGAATAAGTGCGAAATCAGAAAACGCAGCGATTACTTCCCACAAATAGTTATCATAGATAGAAGTGTTCCACGGTACCCTTGCGGAATGACGTAAGGGCGGAGTGGTATTTGTGTACCTAGGCATTAAACCCGAAAGGCAACGCTTTCCGGGAGCTATGACCTAGGATTATATAGAGGGCTACAAGGTCGCAGTAGAGAAACAACAAAGGAAGCCCTTTACAAACGTTTATTCTTTACTTAGCCTTTCTAGCCTTTAACTTTCTCGAATAGAACTCCAGTTCCTTGCCCTCAAGGATGTATCCGTCAGCGCGGCCAACCTGACCTGGTCGGGAGGCGATACAAGCTAAAAAACGCATAAGAAAAGAAATTTAGTTTACCCAAAAGGCGTCCGGACATGAATTCGTCCCTCAAAGGCTCGGCAACTGTAGCAATAGGCAATTTCTGTCGGGCTTCATACTTCTTCATGACAGATTCACTGCGCTTCTTGAGGAGAACGTCATCTTCTTGGGTCTCGGCAGCTTGCTGTGTCTGTTTGCCGGACTTGGGCTGATGGCGGCCAAGTTCTTTGAGGTAGTGAGCCTCATACCACTGTCGGAAGGGGGCAGCATCGATTTGCACAATAGCGTTCTTGACTAGTGTCTTTGTACGTACCAACTCGTTGTTGGACGCATTGTACACGACATCAATTATACGAGTCTTCCGAGAGATCGCTTGGGATGGCCAACTGAAGTTGCCTTGATCTAGGCGCATGGCTCTATACTTCAGGTTGCCACCACGCACACGCACCGTGCGTATACGTCTAGGACCAAGCTTGGTCATGGCGGCTGGACGACCCAACTCGAACTTCCTCTTCTTGCGGTTTCGCTCACGGCGACCGCCAGTTTTGCTACGCTTGTGAATCCTATCACGAGCGATACCTGCAATGTAAAGTAGGTGACAATTCGAGATTAAACGAAAATCCAGGAACACGAGGGTGCTCTGGCGAGGGCAGGACAGAACACCAAAAACCTTGGGTTCGACGCCCGAGGCCCGTCGAAATTATAGTACTCCAAACAAGCCAAAGGACTACGGTAATCAACTATTTCTATAAATGACTGATTGATAACGCAGTAATTCAGAATCACAGAACAGACACTATAGCACGACACTGACAGGTTTTACAAGAATCCACGTGACGTACGGGTTTATGTCATTAATTCAACGAGAATCTGCACGCTAGAGAAATTTTCATTTGCAAGCTCGGCATACTGGAATTAATATATAAAGATGATATTTCGGACGCTTCAAAAATGCACAGAACGAAAGTGCTAGACACGCTCACCCATGCTGCTTCAAAAGTGCTGTACAATCCGCTTTGGTTCATTTAAACAAGTTTTTAAATTCCAGAACTTAAGACATATTGCATGATTATTCAGGATTTCGAGGATTTCTTAATATATTCAGAAGTGCATGTGAAACCCCGCATTAGTGGTAACTACAGACTTTCACTGAAGCTCCTCGCTGAAAATTTTAACCTTCTTAAATTAAGACCGCAAGTATATTTGTTATGTCGATAAGATAGAGGCGTCGTGCTGTCGGTCTTTATAGAATTTGTGTGGGGGCTCATAAACATGATATAATTAGTAAGATAATTATTTTGTGTCTCAGAAATATAGTTTTGTTTCGCGATTACAGTGACGTAAACCCGTGCTCTTTTGACTAGACTAAATTATTGTTACGACTTATATGAAAAGGTTTGGGTTCGTTTCCAAAAGGAAAAGCAAGGAGAGAATCTATGCTCCAGCAGAGGTTCCGCACAAATAAATCTGTCGTGTAAAATTTTCTTTATTGTTTAGAGCGCCGGGAAGAATTAGTTGATGCAGTAAATAAGTTCCATGCATTCAACGTGTACCTTTATGAAACGCAAGGGCGTACCTCAGCCACGCCACTTATACAAACACAGTTGAACATGCGTTAGAAGCAATTTTTCGAGGTTACTTCGACGATTTTCAACTCACCACTATCTAGTCGTTCATGGCGATAGCGATAATTTTTTACGGTTGCTATGCGGAGTGGTTTAATCCCAAGGCCGCCTCTGTTCAGTACTTACGCTGAAGAGTGTGCCTTTGCTATAGATTACGGCACTGTCATGTTGGAGCGTCATTGGATTGAAGCCAGCGACGAGTTTATACAGGAAAATCTAAGCCAAGTTTAGCAATGGTCGATTTGTTATATCTTTCTTTTTAATGTGTGAACTTACCATGTTCTGTATGCTAAATGAACCAAACCTTGTTACACACGGTTTGCCATCTGAATGGCAAATGGTTACGAGAAGTAGACGCCCGGAAGCATATGGGCGTTTGGCTCACGTCTTACGAAGAACCGTCATTTCTAAGCTAAAAGGTGGCAAATTTAGCAAAGTCAACCCCTGGACTTCTTCAAATGAGCTTTCCTAACCTTTAAGGAAGACTTCGATAAATGATTTAGGAGTGTTTATGAAATAACCCGCATCTTTTACTTGTTATTAACACGAACTGCGAGCCTGCCCGACTTTTGTTCCTCAAACCAGCACTGGAGAGGAAGAGAAGGCAGTCGACTATGAGGACAGTGGTATTACAAAAAGCAAGTCATTCTCATAAAAAGGCTGCGTATATTTATCGATCTGCTGCCTGAGGAAGTGTCGGAGACATAAACCAATCAGATCTGATAAGGGATCAATAGCCACAGTTCATGTGCATGTTGTAATGGCATGGCAGCTCATGTAGGCGCCTCTCTGTGTGAATACTCATCGCGAGAATAAAGACACGTCGTACACCAGCCTCATAAGTAGGTTAGTATCGCTTATGATGCATACTGATATGTGTCAGCTGTGTTGTTCGACGAACGCAGCTTCTCTGGCGTATTGTGGACTGTTTGAGGTTTACAGGTGCAAAGTCAGGAGCTAATACCGAAAACATTACCTTCGAAGGGGGTTCAGCATTGGGTTCAGGTTCTGGCTGGTCTGTTTGAATTGTATAGGTGTCCAGCAGGATGTCGAGAGAGAGAGAGAGAGAGAGAGAGTGATGCATCTGCTGTGTTATTGTCCTGCCGCCATCAGACCTGCCTTTAGAGACAAACTCAGGCGTCATCACCGACGCAGACTTCAAACAGCGTGTTACCTCTATACGCTGCTGCTGTCGCCTCAATTCAGTTTGGGAACCCAACTCGATAGTCGCGAAGGAAGACGGGCGTTCCGATGAGGAGCTTGCCGTGAGAGACAAGCGGCATTTTCTGCGAGGATTAAACGTTGGTAGGAAACAATGCGTGGAATTTCGTTCGTCGTTTCCGGCCGATCAGAGCCTTGGCAAGATAGACAACGCCAGAGGACTCTGGGTTAGAGGTAGTCCTGTGAGAAAACAGGAACGCCTGTATTATCTCACCAGTAGTCCCCTATCCATGATCTTTCAAGAGAACTCGCTCAGCTTTTTCTGACCATTAGAGTGGGTGTCCTATTGGGAAACGAACATGATGGATGGTATGTGGGCGGCAAAAGTCATCAAACGTCGATGAAGTAAACTGGGAACCATCCTCTGAAACCAAAATATTTACTAGGTCGTGCTGGCAGAATTTGCGCCGAAGAAAAACAGTAGTGGCAGATGCGGTTGCTGGATTAAGCAGTGCCATCTAAGTCCATTTTAAGTATTTGTAGACAACGATTAGGTGAGAGTATCTGTCGAGCGGACCAGCGTGAGCAATGCCTACCCGGTGTTTGCAATGATACTGTCGATTTACGATCTAATATCTTGGAAATTCGTTGATAAAGGGAATAGCGCTGGACGAGGTCGTTGATGCCGCTGTGAATATCTGGTCAGTATGCAAGACTGCTGGCGATGGACTTTATTTAACTGGTACCACGATGAGCAGCATGAAAATGGAGTAGCTCAGCAGATCGAATAAGAACGAATCACAACTCGGTCCGCAGACATGAGGTTTCAAGCACCCACAAATAGCAATGTTCGACATAGGAAGAGCTGGGGAAGAACTGATCTGCACATAATTTGTTGCTTGACAGAGGACAGTATCATGTTCGGTAGCACGGTGGATATCGGTGGTAGTGACAAGCATGCCTCTTAATGCGTCCGAAAGCTGACAATGTGCATAATCAAGTCAAGTCAAGTTTATTAAAGGAAATATAGGCAAACGCCTTTGAA